GCTGAGAAATATTTTTTTCCACAATGATGCCTCTTGTACATCGTATTATTCTCTTTTGGGAGAAGCCTGTGTCATTTCCTGTCAAAAAAAACTTGCTGGTTGAATAAAAGTAACTAAGTCAGAATTTGCCAGGGGTATGAATAATTTCGGGCTTGACTGTATTATGTATGTGTGTGTATATGTTTCAGCAATGCCTGGACACTTGTATATGTGACACACAATAATGTAATATCACCTAAAAAAAAAAACAAAAAAAACTGCAGTCATAGTCATTTGATGAAAACGGGAGTTTTTTGCAAGAGGGTGGCTGATTGTAAATCACTGAATCATGCAGGCTGTAGGTCATTTACATGTCAAATAATGTGTTGTGTGTATGACACACTGTCTCCTATTTGTATCTCTCCTGACAGTACTTTGCCATCCTTGTATGTATTATGCAAAATAACAGTTTGAATGTTATGTGTACAGTGTGCATGTGAGCATAGCACCATGCTTTGTTTGACCCAGTATCATCTGTGCAGGCATGAATGTGTGTATACTGGCTTCTCAGGAGGCACCGATTTAGCAATGGCATACTGAGTACATTTAGAGGACACCCTGTTCCCCCCCTCTACACACACACACACACACACACACACACACACACACACACACACACACACATAGAGGCAGAGTTATTCATACCCTACAAGCACAACCTTACTATCCACAGCATGACTGAGGGGAAACAAAGTAGAGATGCATTCTGGGTAGAAAGGGTGAGCCGGCAGTCCGGGACCAGGTGCTACATTTTGGTGATGTAATATGTGCACGACACTATGACTGGTGTCTAAAGTCTCCAAGCCTCTCTGCCTCGAACCGTTCTAGGCTTCTCTCCAACTTATAGGTCATAACATTCCTGATGTCACAAATGCATTGACTACAGTTATTACTCGTGACATTCGAACACATAGCAAGAACCACGCTAACCAATTTTGCGTGAAGTGAAAAAAATGCTTCAAGAGCCAACAAAGCTCTGAGAGTGTGAACCACCTCTGTCCTGACAATGTCTGTTTCTTTTTGTTTCAGAGTGTCCCAGAATGCGATGAGGAGAGAAGAATAAATGAAGACGATGACAGAGGGAGTGAACAGGAAGAGGAGAGTGAACAGGAAGAGGAGGAGAGGAGCAGTGATGAAGGTTTCATGGGAATGACTCCCCTGCTGCAGGCTCACCATGCCATGGAGAAGGTGGAGGAGTTTGTACACAAGGTATTGAACATACACACATACTCGCAGGGGCAAAAATTTGATTATGCTACATTGTTTCATCCCTTTCTAAGAAATATTTCCTCTCAGTCCTTCCTTTTAACGTCTCTGTACAAATGTAAAGGAGCACCACACATTTATTTCCACTGCCTACAAAATTTGTTCCCGAGAGCAATGTTTGTGTTTACAGAGGCAGTTAAAACAACACCACTCATTAAAACCACACAGTAAGACAAACCAGTAAAACTATAAAAACGCAGTGAAAACAATGTTGTATGTGTCAGGCTGATCCATTTTTATTTAATTTTTTCCTAGTTGACCTCTGACAGTCAAACATCTTTAGTATTGCTGTGCACAAGTGATAAAACAGTTTCACAGTAATGTAAGAGGGCAAAGTTAATCGAAGCTACCATGTTATTTGTTTCTTCTTTTGGCGTCGGCTTTACCAGAAACTCGCATGAAAACAACAACTTCTGAGAGAACTCTATTTATGTCCTGTAGGGTTTTTTAAAATCAACTATGTGTCATTAATTTGAAATGTAAATGAAGAAGAAGGTAGGCACGAGTTAGTGACCACTTGTAAGCCGACAGTGCTGAAATCTGGATTCATCTGATCTCAGTACACAAGCCTAGACTAATATTCACATACACACTGATGCACACAGTCTGCTGACATTGCAGCCAGCAAGTTGTAAATTAGGGAAGTTAATCACTCCTGAGATAAATTTACAAAGGATTATTTGTTGGGGTTTGCCATGTCAGACTTCAGTTTATTTATACTGCTCATTTGACAGTGACACCATACACGCCCTCATGATCACACGGTACTCCACTTGTACACATAAACACACACTCTGGTTCAAGGATATGAATAAGCAGCTGCTTCTCATACTGGGTATTTCAATTAACTTAGGAGTCATTTTTTTCATTAACATTTTCCATTCACTCCAGCCTTCGGGCTCTTATTCAGAGCTTGTGTTTCTTCCTGTGCCGTTTATCAACCACTAAGGTATGGGAGGGCCGGTGGCGTGTCATACATCATGATGTGCTCCCTGATTGGCTGAAGGACAACGACTTCCTGCTTCATGGGCACAGGCCACCCATGCCTTCATTTCGTGCCTGCTTCAGGAGCATTTTCAGAATCCACACGGAGACGGGAAACATCTGGACACACCTGCTAGGTCAGATTGACACATTATTAACCCTAGTTTGAACATCCCTTAGTACATTCCTAACCTAAGCCCATTCAGTAAACTTAGTCTCATGAGCACACATTTGCACCACATGATAGGTCAGTTATATTTAAAATTAAAGTACTTTGATTCTTGTTTTTTCTGTCTTTCTGTAACATGTTACTCCACTCACTCTTATTTTATCCTTTAGCTAATCATCATTTTTAACCAGACTTGTTAGTTTACATATCCTTGTGTAAAATGTTATACTGGTAGGCAGCAAAAGGAGGAGGAGGCAATATGTGGGGGAGGCGACAGTGGTGCGGTGGGTAGAGCAGTCGTCTCCCAACCAGAAGGTTGAAGGTTCGAATCTCAGTGCCGGATGCCCACGTGTCGAAGTGTCCTTGGGCAAGACACTGAACCCCCGTTGCCCCCGATGGTTAGAGCTATCGGTTGAGTTGGCGCCGCAGATGGCTGCCATCAGTTCTGTACCGGAAACAAATTCCTTGTGTGTAACATACTTGGTCAATAAAGGTGATTATCCTTATCCTTAAAAAATGAGGCTCATTTAGCTTTGATAGCACTGCAGTGTTGAAACTGAGCTGTTTTGTTTCAATCAAATTGTATGTTTAATTCCCTGATGTTATTTCAGATTTATTGGATTGTGCCTTTCACCCAGTTTAGTCCAGTTTCCATTTTTACATTTATATTGGCTCTTTGAGTTTTGTTCTGGCTTGGAAAGAACTGGGTGAATAGTCCCTCTGCTTCCACCTAGTGGTGCTACAGAGATACTGCCCCTAAATGTAACTGGTTTGAGTTGGATTTTGTGACTATCATGTTTTTTTCTGCTTTTACTCTGTTTTGATCTGAAAACATAAAAAAAATCTTCCAATTAATTTGTGGTGGAGCAACAGTTGGAAACAAGGTGATGTTTTTTGAACAGTTGATTATCTTGGTTAATATCTCTCTCTCTCTCTCTCCTTCTCCTTTAATCTCCTTCTGTCACTCTGTCTCTCTGCAGGCTGCCTGTTTTTCCTCTGCCTAGGCCTGATGTACATGTTCAGGCCCAACATGTCCTTTGTGGCTCCAGTCCAGGAGAAGGTGGTGATCGGGATGTTTTTCCTGGGAGCCATCCTCTGCCTCTCTTTTTCCTGGCTCTTCCACACAGTCTACTGCCACTCCGAGGGTGTGTCCAGAGTCTTTTCCAAGTAAGGCACTCAGATTTTTGTCTAGTTTATGTGTTGAATCTGGTAGTGATCAAGCGTCTTGCTCAAAGATATACCAAGTAGTTTCCTGTGTAATCGTCCACTCTGTATTTTTCTACGTCTAGGTTGGACTACAGTGGGATTGCCTTCCTGATCATGGGCTCATTTGTTCCCTGGTTGTACTACTCTTTCTACTGCTCTCCTCAGCCTTGTTTTATCTATCTGATAGTTATATGCATATTGGGACTGACCGCCATCATCGTCTCCCAGTGTGATTTCTTTGCCACACCACAATACAGAGGAGTTAGAGCAGGTAGAGTGAGATGCATCTCAATATTTATGATTATTTTGTTAGGTTTGTCCTATAAAGCTTTAAATTTTGCCTTCTTAAACACATGCATTCTTATGGTAAGTGTTTACCAAATCCTAATGTGATGCATTCTGGCTTTGTTGCAACTTGCTGACTGGCCACCAGTTTAGCTGATGTGGCAGTGGCCTTGCTCTTTGCTCTGCTTCACTCTCTTCACACTGAATTTGTTTTGCTGCATCAGCTTATGTCTCTGAAGCAGGAAATTCACTTAGTACAGTGGCTGCAGAAAATATTCAGTCCCCTTCACTTTCTCTCATTCTTTATTGTGACATATTCTAAACATATTTTTCATTTTGTCATTATGTGTTATTGAGTACTTACTGGTGTATACAACATTAAAAATAAATGTACACTGTGTGTGCAAAACGTGAAGGGGTCTGAATACTGTCAAAAGCCAATAATATGTAGATGTTCATACTTATTGATAAACATTTAAGAATGCATGTAATTTGTTATTGACTTCGTCTTAGCATATACGTGTATATATAGCTGGTGTTAGTAGTTAGTGTGAGAGAGAGAGAGGAGGCGACCTCCTTTCAGTCTTTTCCTGCTCTGCCATCACTAGCATTGTTTTCATGCAAATTCCCAAGTTTCTCTCAACATTTAAAACGAGTAATTATAAAGACATTTAGAGGCAAAAGAAAAAAATTGTATAATATTTAAATGACAAATGTTTTTTTTAAATAGGCTTATAAAATATATGCATATAGTGTCAGGAAAAACACTGACTATGATCATAACTAAAACCATATAAACTCACTAAAATCATATAAATGGAGCCTTGGCTGAGCTGGAAGACAGCTGGTTCTCTTATGTGTTGACCCTCTTTGTGTGCGTGTGTGTGTGTGTGTGTGTTTGAGTGTACACACATGTGTTCAGGTGTGTTTGTGGGTCTGGGTCTGAGTGGCGTGGTTCCTTCCCTGCACTTTGTCATCAGTGAGGGTCTGATCAAAGCGACCACCATGGGTCAGATGGGCTGGCTGCTGCTGATGGCGACGCTTTACATCACCGGTGCCTGTCTGTATGCTGCTCGCATCCCCGAGCGGTTCTTCCCTGGCAAGTGTGACATCTGGGTAAGTGCTAACAAATATACTCGCACTGGTTGGACTAAACATTAAGGATGCATTCTCAAATTAGAAGCCATTGTCCACTGTTCATTTCCACATGTTAATTCTGAGTGATTCCAATGCAGGAGCAATTTTGTTCTAACATTTTTTGCTTTACCTTGCTTTCACCCCTGTTTCACAGTTTTTCTTTCTTTCTCTTAGTTCCACTCTCACCAGTTGTTCCACGTCTTGGTGGTCGCCGGGGCGTTCGTTCACTTTCATGGTGTATCCAACCTGCAAGAGTTTCGCTACACGGCGGGTGGGGGCTGCACTGAGAACGGTTTTCTCTAACAGACACATACACATTGACTTGCTCATTCAATCAGACACATCTTACAGGGAAGCACTGGTTCTAATAATATGCACAGAATTACACACACACATCTTCTTCAGACATGCACACACACACATGCTCTCCTCCAGACTGAAGACCGAAAATGGCTTGTCCACTGTGTGTTTGTGTGTGTAATACACAGGGTAACCTCCAAGGGGTCACTTAAAACTGAATGATGATGGTTTCTGTCCTTCTATCTGCCTGTTCATCCATCCCACTTCCTCCCTCTCTCTGTTGCTTCGACTAAATCACTTCTAAGACAGCACATTTTATAAACCAGTTTTTGAGGCTCTACTCTTTCCAGGAAGTGGAGGTAGTTCTGCTAAAGCTCTTTTCCAAGACACATTTCATCCAAATATGAAAAAGAGAAAGAATTGAGTTGATATTGTCTTTGGATTTCTTTCATGATTGTGAACGTTGTAGTGGGAAATGTTGGGGTGGGCTGGGGTTAATAGTCACTTTTAAGATTTAAAAAAAAAAAAAAAAAAAAAAAAGAACACTTTTTAAATAAGATTTAAAAATTTTGGGTTATAGATTTATATGAAATATATATATGAACAAGAACAAAAGTGTTCCATTGTGGCAAGATTAAATAAATATGTTAGATGATAAATGGTGACACTTATACTAGCAGGGAGGTGCAGTGGCGTGAATAATCTATTATTAAATCGATTTTGCAACTGGAGGGAAGGGTTCCAGATGGCTTCATTAAGTCTGTATATGCAAGGATGAGAGATAGAGACAAAGAGGAAATACATGGCACAACACCTGAATTTTATCAGACAAGCAGTGACTTCAAGACTTGCTGGTATTTGTCTCAAGTGCAGGTGGGAAGTGATTGCAGAACCACTGTCCCCTTTTTCACTTTTGTGCTGAACTTGTGGCCTTGGGTTTGTCCAGCATTACAGGGTTGGTGCACTGATCTCAAATCAAACCTGGGGCCTCATTAATTGAAGCATTCACACATAAACATTTGTGTTTTAAACCAAATATAAAGTCAAATCTATGGAATAGAAAAGAGTCATCTTAATATGTAGCCATTTTCATTCATCATATTTCTGTGAATTGTCTTAAATCTCTAAAGATAAAACTAATTTCAGTGCCACCACTAACATGTTTGTTCATTTTTTGACATTCCCATGAATAACTTCTTAAAATACCACTGATAACTTGAAGATATTTTTATAAGGCTCCAGAGTCATATATATATATACACACATGTGTGTGTGTATAATTTTGGTACTGTAAATTTAATACAGTACAGATTCACCTCTTCACAGATCAAGCATACCTTCTCAAAACCTTTTTCTTTCTGATTGGATTGAATTTTAATTTGTTGCTGTTTTGATATCATTATTGCTAGCTTTAATTTCACTTGATTTGTATTCTCTTTTGGTTTGCACTGCTCAGACAGAGATTGTCATGGGAGGTGAGGGCAGAGAAGCTCAGAGTACCAAGTCTCTTACCCTAAAAATAGGAGGGGGAGAACCAAACAAAAAAACCATCCAACATGATCCGAGTGAAAATCACAGTAACTATCTTAACGGTAGTCTCAAACACTGAGATGTCCCTCTGAGGTGAACTTTTTAAAAAGATGTTTTCTGACAAAACCAGAATCTTGGACCTTCACAATAGAAACTCATATTCTGAGCTTGTCAAACAGCATTTCTGTGATTGTTAGAAATTTAGGTTTGCAAGTTACTAAACAGCAATTTGGGTTGCTATTTCAGTTATCAGCATTTGTTACTTGCAACATGCTTTGCTTTGGAGAAGAACATTTTCTTATTGCTATCTTTTCTTTTTCTCATTTTCTTTTATTTTATTTAGTTTACATTAATTTATTTCTCTTGGGGAGCGCCTATTGTTTGCTAAAGCACGTTCTGTTCTAATGAGAGTGTTTGATTGCAATACTCCTTTATATCTGCTGTATTGTTCTAATAAAAGAGTTTTTCAAGCTGTCACACTGTACATTACTCATTACCTTTGTAAAGTAAATAAATTGGAAGCATAAACAGCAAAGCAAAAACAACTGGAGAAATGCATTTCCTGTCGTAAATGCGTGTGGATGCTGATAAGCTGAAAAATCGTCCTGAAAATGCCTGAAATCAATTGCTGAAACAGCTGAAAGATGAGAAGAAATGGCTGAAGTTCTTTGTTGAAATAGTTGAGAAGAAATGGCTGAAGTTCTTTGTTGAATAATTTGAAGGATGAGATGCAATAAAGTAGGAATGGCCTTGAAGAGCTGAACATTTTGATACCTGAATGGCTTTTCTTGTCGTCATCGGTGTGTGAATGGGTGAATGGTGTATGATCTCCTGTAAAGCGCTTTGGCCTGTGAAACACACTGTGAAAAATGTGCTATATAAATACAGTCAATTTCTAGCTGAAGGTATGCTGAACTTATTAATAAAATGCTGAACATTTCTACACCTGAAAGGCATACCTGAAAGTATGTTGAAGTAGAATTTTCCCATTCATTTGAATGGAGCAAGATTTTCAAAATAAAACTAAATATTTCAAAAGTAGTAGTAGTAGCAGAACGTCTCACGAGTTGATAAAAAGTTGAAATGATGTTTCTAGCCCAAAGTATGCCGGAGATGTTAAGGTTCAAACTTTGTCCCATTCATTTCCAATGGGGAAATTTTTGTGCAAAAAGCTGAATTTATTAAAAACTATAAATGTTACAAAAAATGTGTGACAAGCACACATGTCCTTGAAATGTGAACATTTTGACATCTTAATGGTTGTTCTAGCTGTAAGTATGTTGGAGTTATTACGTGCCGAAAAAGAGTGGCGGAAACCAGAATAATAACTACAAAAATGCATTTCCTGAAGAAAATGCATGTGGATGCAAGCTTGGTAATGCATTGCTCTGAAAATGACTGAAATCAGTAGCCAAAACGGCAGAAGGATGAGAAGAAATGGCTGAAGTTCTTTGTTGAA